GGCTGGCCATCTTCTCCCTGTGTCCTCACATGACCTTTCCTCTCTGTGCGATCATCCCTGGCGACCCTTTTTGCCCAAATCTCCTCTTCTTAGTAAGGATACCAGTCAGATTGGATGAGGACCCACCTTGATGGCCTCATCTTAATGACCTCTTTAAAAGCCCCTTCTCCAAATTCAATCATATTCTGTGGTATGGAGAATAAGGGTAAGGGCTTCAACATATGAATTTGGGGGACACAATTCACCCCTAACAGGTGCGGAAGGACAGTCGAGGAGGCTCTGAACAATGTAGCTAGGTGTCTGGATTTTCGTCTTTGGCTGGGGAGCCAGGGAAGGTCTGGTTGTATTTTGGGAGGGTCACTGTGGCAGCTGCGTGGAGGATGGAGGGGGCTGTGGCTCTCGAGTTTGGCTGCATGTCGGAATCACCTAAGGAGCCTTTAAAAAGCCTGGCGTCCCTGCTATACTGCAGACTCATCAAATATGACTGACTGGGGTGCGACCCAGGTGTCCATGACTTGTAAACCTTCCAGGTGGTTCTGATGTGCAGCCAACGGTGAGGACCACACCATGAGAGGGAAGCTTGCCCGGAAACAAGGCGCCTGGTGTGAAGAGGGAGTAAGACTCAGAAACTAGATCTGTCCAGGCACATGCAGGATGAGAGTGGCCACAACCGCTGAACCGACTCCAGCCCAAGGCAGCTCACTCACGCCACTTGTCCAAGGAGATGTGATGGCCGTAACCATAGAATGCCATCCTCTAAGGCCACCCACACCCCAGAGCCCAGAGAACCTCTGATGCTCTGTTCCTGGAGGCCACACTGCCACCACCACCTGACCCCCAACTCCAGGGCTAGAGCTTGAAAGATCAGTCTGCTTGATGCCCTCATTTTACGGATGGGAGAGCAGAGTCCAGAGATGGACGGTGACTTCTGTGATCAGGAATAAAACCTTTGCTCTTGCTGTCTTGGAAAGTGGAGACTCACGAGGAAACCATGAGCTTTTGAAAGAGTGGGGCTGAGGGTGGCCCATACCCATGGCTCTCCCAGTCCATTCCTGGATGACCCGGTTGAGAGGACGCTCCTGTCCTCGGAGCCAGAGGCTGTTGGGGGTTGGTGGCAACCAGACTGGGTCAAGGCTACCAGGTCTCCTCTGAAAATGACCTTGGCTGACCAGTCCCAGGGCAGCCCCAGCCCATGGGAAGCTCCGGACACCAAACCAGCTCTGGGTGGTCCACAGGGGCATGGGTGGACTTCTCATCCCAGTGGAACCTTCTTCACAAGGATCTAAGAACAACCTGGTCCCCTTGGTCTCTCCTAACTTGGCAAACTGACCCCGCTGGAACACAAGAGACCACCTGAGCCCATGACATCTCCTTCTCTTTCTCAGCAACTGCAGAGATGCCCTCAGGTCCCTGCTTTCATGGAGCTTCCATTCTAGTGGAGGGGAGACATAAAACCAAACACAAAATCAATATATATTATTCAGGGTGGCGTAAGAATGGTGAATAATAAGTCTCATGATTAACAAGCTCATTTCCTGTTCTAAGGTCTTCTCACATGGATTTTTTTTTTTTTTTTTTGGCTGCAACCGCACAGCTTGCGGGATCATAGTTCCCCAACCAGGGGTCGAACCCAGGACATGGCAGTGAAAGCGCCAAGCCCTAACCACTGGATCGCCAGGGAATTCCCTCACGTGGATTTATCTTTTCAGAGCGGTGCCTTCCCAGGTGCAGTTGGTGCAAGGTTCTAGGCCACACACAGCAGGGAGACTGGACACTGGGGTGCGTCCTTTCCCTCCAGCCTCGCTGGGGATGAAGGAAGCCTGCAGAATGACGGGGGGGGGGGCAACACCAGACTGTCCACCACTGACACTTCCTGAGCAATGGCCGAGAGTGAGGTACTGTGGGGAATACACAAGTGTGAGAGGTAGGGGCTGCCCTCCAGTTTCTAAGCAGATGGGGAGACTGGGCATCATTCAGTACTAAATACAAAGGCAGGTACCATTGCTATTTAGTGTTTGTAGGTCTTCATGGGATAGGACCTGGCTCCCAAGAAGCTCACAGTCTGAGGAAGGAGGTAAGAGTATCTCTGTCTATGCATCAGCCTCCATCCACTCAGCTTATGTATGGTAAGTAACTAGCATTCAGCAAAGAGCTCAGACATGGTGGGTTACAGGGGCTGGCCAAGGCAGCAGAGAAAGGAGGGGTGAAGGTGGGCAGACAAAGCAGGGGAAGATGGGGTGAGGGCATTCCAGCTGGGGCCCACCAGTGGCTTCAGCTTAATGCAAGAAGCTTGGAGAGGTGGTGAGGCAAGTGTGGTGATAGAAGGTCTGGCTGCGTAAGACTCGACGGGCAGGGCGGGGCCGGTGATGGGGGTCCATGGACCCAAGCGCACATACCACCTCCCCCGGACGTGCAGGCACACAGAGCCCTGGGAGGAAGACGAAGCTCAGGGAGGTTGAGTCGTGTGATCTCCAAGGCAGGGCAAGGCTCCACGTCCATGCTGTCTGCCCAGCCAGGATGCCACAGTGGGGACCAGTGATGAAAGTGGACCTTTCTTTTTTTTTCTGGCTGCATCACACGGCATGCGGGACCTTAGTTCCCCGGCCAGGGATTGAACCCGTGCCCCCTGCAGTGGAAGCGTGGAGTCTTAACCACTGGAGCACCAGAGAAGTCCCAAAAGTGGACCTTTCCATCAAGTAATTTGGAGGTCAGAGGAGGCAGTTTTCACGAGAGCCAGTTGGAAACCCACTGGGCCAACAGAAGCCCGACTTCTGTTTAGGGTCATCATGGTGACCCAAAAGGTAGCAGAAGGAACTAGAAAGAACATTAGACCAGGATGCTGGAGACCAGCCTGGGAGTTCACCTCTTTAAGCATCGGTATCTCCTCCTGGAAGCCAGAGTAGCTGCAGCCCCTGCACCCGCAACCCGTTCTGATGCCAGAAACGTGGAAGGTTTGTAGATGACAGAAGCCACTAATGGTGGTCCTGTCAGCAGCTCAGAAAGGATGACCCTGGTTGGGGAAGGCTGAGCACAAATGGGCAAATAGGTAGGAATAAATGATGAGAGGGCGGGGCAGGGGCTGCGCATGGGCAGGAGAAGGGAGCAGATCAAGCGGGGCCTCGTGGACCAAATGCAAGATTTGGGTCATTATCCCAGGAGGACTGGGACCTCCCTGGACGATTTTAAGCAGAATTAATTGGGTTTTTAAAATAGCTCTCTGCCCATGGTGTGGCGAAGAGGCTGGAAGATGGCAAGCATGGAGCAGGTACCGGGTAGAAGACTGGTGCATCCTTATGGGAGGAGCAGGAGAAACTCATCAACCCTTGGGGCCTTTGCACTGGCTGTTCCAGGGGCTTGGAATACGCTTCCCCTTGACGTTTGCATGCCGACTCTTTTTCTGCAGTCAGATCTCCACCCCTCCACGTTACCTCTCCAGAGAGGCCATCTGCTATAGCCCTGGCCTTCCGTCACACTTGTCCCAGTTCATCCACCACTAGCTGAAATGATTCTGCTTATTTGTCTGCTGGTGGCCTCTTCCCGCTCGGAGAGCAGGCACCCCGTCTGCTGGGGTTCTGCTGAGCCCAGCCTCATCACCTGGATCCATATTCCTCAGCTGAGATTCTCAAGGGAGCAGAGGGAAAGGAGTTGCTTGCTGGAAATCAGCAGGCAGGCGGTGTCCTGAGCCTTTGATACAGTCAGAGGGAAAAGGGACGGAGAGGATGGGCAGATGTGCTTCTGCCCCTTGAGGATGGGGTAGGGTGAAGGTTCCTGCCGGAGATCACATCAGCGGAGGATTCAGATGTGTGGGGTCCTTCCCAAGGGGGCCTCAGAACCCCAAGGCAACGCCCCAGAGAGGAGGGGGGGCATCCTGGCTTTGCCTCCTGCGCTGGGGCAGACTGTAGGGCTTGCGGTCTGCTGGAGGCCTGGCAAGGAGGGCAGAGATGCCCAAGGCCCAAAGCTCTGGATCCTGAGAAGCATCTCAGGGTGTGCACAGGGGGGTAGGAGAGAATTAACCTCCAGTCTTCAAGTGTGCTGGGGGTGGCTGCTCTGGAGACAGTACCTTGGGGAAGCAGCCCCTAGTAATACACATCCCTTAGGCAAGCTACATGGTTGCTTTAAAAAACAACGAGCTTCTGGCATATTTGGGGGCTGAACGTTCCAATCTTTGCTGGCAAGAGAACACAAGGCCACAGAATGCAGTGATGAGAAATAAAGGACCCAGTGACTCAATGCCTGTGTGACAGGTTTATTGTGGAGCGCCGCATGGGCCTGCCAACACAGTCCACAGACGTGACATTTAAAAGCCTCGTGCATTCCACTGGCTCTGTTGGTCTCCCCACTGCCAACCAGCCGTGTGAAACCCAGGGCGGCTTCTCCCCCTCTGCCAGGACATCTGCCGAGACTGTGGCCCAAGTCCCAAATGCCCCTGCACGTTTAGGGAGCACAGGAAGGTGTCTGAAAAAGCTGCTTGCTTTGACATGGGCCAGCCTCCCGCTAACTGAGAAGGGCCCCGATTTGCGCACAAATGAATATGACGTCTGACAGTTTTCAGGGAAGCTGTCCAAGCTTTTTTCTCTGAAATCCCCATCTGCAAAAGCGTCTTTTCTGAAAGTCTTAAATGCACACAATCCTGTGCTGTCTGGGTTTAATGCAAGAAAACAGGAAGCCAGTTAAATGGATTCCATGACGCTCACCGACCAGGCACAGATGCCTTTTCTCCTCAGCAACAGTAACAACAAAGCTAATATCTATTGGGAGCTTACTATCTGCTAGGTGTTATTATTATCTCTCCATATGTAAACGAGGAAAATGAAGCACAAAGAGGTTAAGTAATCTGCCCACGACCACACAACCAGTGAGGGGCAGAGCTGGGATTTGAACCCCTGCTCTGAACTGCCATCTTGTATTGCTTCCTAGCCTCTAAAAGGGCCCAGGATACAGTTATGTGGATCCCCCACACTCCCCTCTACTATCTACCCAAATAGAATGTTCCAGGGAATTCCCTGGTGGTCCAGTGGTTAGGACTCGGCGCTTTCACTGCAGTGAGCCCGGGTTCAATCCCTGGTCAGGGAACTAAGATCCCACAAGCTGCACAGCACAGCCAAAAAAAAGAAAGAAAGAAAAGCAAGTGTTCCAAAATTTTAAGAGAAATGGAGTCAAATATTACACTAAACTTGTAGATAAGTTGTGTTATTATATACAGCGGCCAAGGAATGAAAATTGAGAAGCTACAGCAACACGTGTTCCTAGGTTGGTCCAGAGTGAGGGCAAGCCTGTGTCTTTGGAAAATCTGCCTGCAGTTGCAGTGAGAAGGACTAAGGTTGAGTAAGCCAGTGGCGTCTTGAGCCCATGTGCTGAAAGGGGCAGCAATATGTTGGAATCCTTCCCTCCCATGGCAACCCCAGGAGTGGGAGGACCACCCAAGGGAAGGGGAACTCGCTCTCCATCTTTCCACAGATGCAGTCACTGATGATGTGGAGGTGGGTGGCTCTGAGGCCCTGGCAGAGATAGGGCTGCTCTTCTCAAATGCACAAGCCAGAGAGTCTGGGAGCTGCCTTTGAGAATGTCACTGTAGCTCCCAGACCGTCAGTGCCCTCAGCTACAAAGTGCAGGGTGTGTGCGCAGTATTCTCCAAGATTTCAACCTCCTCAAATAATCCCCAGGGGCAGGGGGTAGCACCTCTGTGGCCACTACCTGCGGCCACTGTAGACCTTTTCCTGTGTGGGGCCTGGACTGCAACTAAGTGGACTGGGACCAAAGGGCACTGTGTGTGGCAGGGACCGAGGGGGGGAAGGGGCAGCTTGGGGCATGTGAGGGGGGTCAAATTGTTCAGTACTCTGAGTGAGGCAGCATCGTTGATGAAAAATGGCAGCTCAAAAGTGCCTTTCCCCCTCCTATGTCAGTTAGGAGAAAATACACAGAGGAGACTCTGTCCAACTTTTAAAAACATGATGGGCTGGGTCAAAGGAAGGGATGCTTCCTCTTTTGAAGCTTGTGGCATCATCTGACATTATGTGCCAAGCAGATGTGGGAACAGCAGCTGTCAGCCTATGCCAGAATCTTCGAGAGTGATACTTGTCTGCTTGCTGGTGGTACTATGAGCTCACCATTCACCCACTGTCTCTCTCTCTCTCTCTCTCTCACTCTCTCTCTCTCTCTCTCTCTCTCTCTCACACACACACACACACCCAGTCTGCTGAAAACATAAAATAATAACATCGTAGCTTCTAAGAGGTAGCATGCTTAACAGGAAGTTGCATTGATACAATTTTATAGCTGATTCTCATTTTCTACAAACAAAACCTTCAGTTTTTGTGACTCAAGTTATATTATTAAAAAATGCCCAGGGAGTTTTCAATGTCAAGAACAGAACCTTCCTAAGAGGCAATGGAAACCTCTGATATGGAATCACCACACACCAGGAAACATTCTGGAAGTCTGGTTTTTATGTGTGGAGTTTTCTTAAAGAAAGGCCCAAGAGAAGTTTGGCTGAAGTGAAATGTTCACATCAAGCTATCGTGATCCTTGACCTTATTATGTTTCCCTATCCTACCAGATCCAAAATATCAGACATTTTGAAGAAAGGGCTATTTTTCCGTGCAGTTTTGGGACTGTTGGCATTCCATGTAGTTTCCATAAAACTTCTCTTGGGTATTTTGGGAACTAAAAAGAATGAATAGGATTAACTTACAATTTTGATAGAAGGAAAAATGAATATTCACTTTCTCTCATAAGTGATTTTCACTCTGCCAGGAAACAGGACTGACTGATTTGTTAGGCCTGTTCCCCAGCTGAGACCTGGGCTGGCACAGAGACCTGGTCCAGACGCAGGGGAAGACGCCCTGGCATCCTGGTCCTCAGCCTCCTGCACTGACCAATGAGCGAGAGGCTTCAGGAGCAGCCCCTTCTAAGGAGACTGTTGCTCTCAGGAAGCTCACACCTAAAAGCGGAAGGGAACTGCAGAGACAGCCCGGCCTCCTCTCCGGGGGTGATAGACTGCGACCCAAGAACCGGAAGTCGGTGCTTTCCTCTCATTCACTAATTCCCGGTCCCACCCATTGGACAGGCATTCTTGAGCACCTACCCTAGTATGTGCCCGGAGATCATACAGTGTATTAGGTTGAACCACATGAAACTGCCGTTTTATAGGTAAGAAACAGGAGTACTGGCAAATATTTCATACAGTTAAACCCACCACTTCGAAGGTTTTCCTAAGCTAATGTTAGCAGGTTTTTCTTCTGATGGCATCAGAGAAGGTGGAGAGGACCCAGTCACTACTTGCTAGGGGAACTGGGCCTACTTCCAGAACAGGGTGGACATGCAATGATGTAATACACTGTAACTTTACAGGGGAGTGAATCCTTGCTTTAGATCGGCTTCTCCCAGATACCATTTTATGCAGAGGCAGCCTGGAGCTTGGGCCGCGTGGCTGCCTTCAGCTCTCTGGGTCCTGCTCTGCATGGGCGGGGCAGGCAGACACAGGAAAGCAAGTTGTCCTCTTCTTGTCCACGTGCCACTGGGGCAAAACTGTACCCAAAGTTCAGTCGCAAGTATATTCACCCAGAGCAACCAGGAGAGCATTACCCACAGCAGCCAGTGGGATGAGACCAGGGTTTCTCAACCTTGGTACTGGTGACACCTGGGGCCAGATCGCTGTGGCCCCAGGGGGACTGTCGCTGTGGGGGACTGTCCGGCGCATTGTAGGATGTTGAGCAGCATCCCCAGCCTCTACCCACTGGATGCCGTAGTCTTCCCTCCCTCTGGGTGAGGAGCACTGGGTCAGATGGATACTCTACAATCCAGTGCAAACTGAATGATCTGGGAGGGGGAGAGAGCAGTTTTCTGGGGACCAACCTGTGTCAGCAAACCCAGAACACAGCCTAGAGGGATGATCTATGGAGAGGGGCCTGGAGAGAGTTACAGAGAGTATTATACAGCATTACCCACCTTGGCAACTGCATCCCTGCTAGCCGAACTCAAGGCTGGAAACACTGACTTATACAGGTGAAGGGGTCCCGGCCAAGAGACGGGGTTTCGCTCACAAGGGGGTGGGCTGGGGGACAGTGACAGGGATCTCTCCGCCCACCTCTGGGCCTCCGTGTGACATCTCTGCCTCAAACAGCCACTTCTCTTCCCGGCTTCATCCGGCTCCTACCCATCCTTCCGGTCTCAGCTTACACATCCCTTTCTCCTGGAAGGGTTCTCTGATCCCTCCCTTCAACGGCCTCCCCGCCCGGTCGGCTCTGGATGTCCTGCTCAGTGTTACCTGGCATCCATATTTCTCCTAGCATAGAACGTATCACCTTAGCACACACACGCACACGCACACACCCCCACCCCAGATATATTTATGTACAGACACTTATGCAGTAGTTTGGTTTTCTGCTTGTTCCTCCCATTAGAACGTGAACTTCATGAGGACAGGGACCCTGCCTCTACTGACGGAGCAGCACACTCTCCCCAGAACCCAGGGGGGCGTCCACACCCGATGGATCTCTCCCCCACAATATTTGGTGAATTGATGAAGGAAATCACTTTTCCACTGAATGGCAGGGTAGGACCAGTAAGTGAAGTTCCTGAACGGAATCAAGCATGTGGTCATCGTAGCCAACAGTTCCATCAACGTGTACACCAGTTTGTTTCTGCAAAGGCAACGAGACTGGAGTGCGCAAGGCAGAAACGGATGGAGAACAACAGTATGGAAGATGTGAAAGTTTCCGTATTTACCCACATCTGTATGTTCAACAGACCCTTATCGTGATATACCTTTTGGACAAATGTTTTAGACTCTTGAGTCACATCACACACCTGCCAATGTATCAGTACCATGTACCAAAAGCCCAATCAGACAGTTAAGCACGAAGCTGGGTGGTAGTTCTATTCTTCAAAAACCAGTATTATGAGGGTTAACTGTTTGCATATTGATCAGGGAGGGGTGGGTAGCAGGGTAAGAGGGAGGGCCGTTCAGAGAAGACTCAGTGAGGCTCTCATGGTGTCTGTATCACAATGGACAGCAGGCCACCTGCTCACGTCGTCTGCTTGTTCCCCGTCACCACTGCCAGCTTCCAACATCAAGAACACAGAGACATTTCCATCTAACTTTTATATGAAGAATTTAATTATCTACACACATAACTAATTCAAAAGTTGTATTACAGTTGTTAAAGCCGCAGGTTTATATATTTATATATTTTACATTCATATCCATGAAAATACTGACGCGCCAGTGAATGAGGGGGAGTCCTCGTTCTCGGCACCACGTGAGTGGAGAAAGACCTCTACACAATCGCCAGCACGGAATCCCCAAGGGGAGAGACGTAGAAACAGAAGTTCACTACTGTTAAAAAGTCATTAGTAGGACCGCTAGGTTGTGCTTGAGGCTCCCTGCCCCCCGCCCCGTTTTCTGTGCTGTCGGCAACGGCGTTTTTATTGAGAGCTTCCAACTAGTGTTTAAAAGACAAACATGGCTTCAGCTACAACATATCCAACACATTAACGGACCATGAGCTCCATTTCATATTAATCTGTAGAAATTCCACAGTCTAGTTAAAAAATGTAAACATTGGAAATTAATTGCAGGGAGACTCCTATACATTCTTTCTTGTCAAGAAAATTACTTGTTCAAAATATGTCATTCCATGAAAAGTCACTGGAATAAAACTTGGTGTAACAGAGACTAAGGCGAGATTGTAGATATTGTTGATCGTAACAACCTCAGTGGTGTTGTCTACGGATTTATGGTATGAAAACACGCAAAATTAAAAACCCAAAACAGAAAACACCAACTCAACCAGATAAATCTGAGACCGAACAAAAACACAGGTGCTTTCTCGTGTGGCTACAAGGTCACTGTGCAAAATAAAATTAATGTAATATGATTAGAGCATCATACAAGATCATAGCTTTTGCCATGGAAAGAACTAATTTCTTATGTACAGGATGTATTATTACATGCTCAACAAGGTACATCTGATACACACAAACAAGCACAAAACAGCTTCTGTTTAATTGGCCTCGTTCTACACGTCTTTAAAACAGATATACTGAACTCCTCTGTACTTCTATACTAGGGG